ATAACAATTATTGATTCATAAAATAAATTCAGGTGCCTAGTCTTATGTTATTATTGGCAGTTATCTCACCCTGTAGATGGTCTGTTGTCACACGTCTTGTTTTGGTCTACAGCCCCACCTACTGCTTAAATGTTGCTAATTGCTCCTTTGCTCTGTTTCACTTATTCCACTGATTTGGGGTTTGCTTTCCCACAGTGCTTTGCTCCTGAACTCGATAATGAGAGCCTTCAGACCGGAGTTTGTTGCGACCAGAGCCACAGATTTCATCGGAATGATCAAAGACTGCGACGAGTCCGGCTTCCCGAAGGTCAGAGGTCACAGATCTCATCTGTCTGTTTAAATAAACTTAGAGCTGCTGACGCTGTAAACGTCTCCTCAGCATCTGCTGTACGGGTCTCTGGGCCGCAGTCTGGGCTGCGCCGACCCTCCAGAGTCCGAGAGGCTGACGATTCTGAACGAAGCCTGGAAGGTCATCACCAAAGTCCGAAACGCTGAGGTTTTGTACCCTCTATGCAACGAACACCCAGGTTCTACCAGAGACGTGTCTATGGTCATGGCTGACCCCCTGTGGGTTTGTTTTTCTAGGATTACATGAACTGTGCAGAGATCTGGGTGGAGTTCACCTGCAGACACTTTACTGTGAGTGAACCCTGACCGAGAAAGATGGCCGCCGCGCCTCCAGCTGTTTCTAACCTCTGTGTCTCCTGCTCACAGAAACGTGAGGTCAACACGGTCCTGGCTGACATCATCAAACACATGACCCCCGACCGCGCCTTCGAGGACGCCTACCCTCAGGTTGGCGGGGTTTACCCCCCCTGCTCCCAGCGCTTTGTTCTCCAGCTGCTCTCTAATCACTGTGTTGTTTTTTCTCATGCTGCGTTCAGCTTCAGTCCGTCATCAGGAAGATCCTCACCTACTTCCACGACTTCTCCATGCTCTTCTCCATGGTCGGTGGATGGAAACGCGAGCGGCTGAACGTTGCCCGTTCTCCACGTGGCGTTTTAACAGTTTCCCTCTCCTCCGTTTCCTCAGGAGCGCTTCCTGCCGTTCCTGGACATGTTCCAGAAGGACAGTGTGAGGGTGGAGGTCTGCAAATCCATCATGGAGGTCTTCATCAAGTAAGACCAACACCTGAACCAGCTGGGATGGAGAAAGCTTGCGGTGGATTTGTCTCCATCTGTTGTTTGTTTCCTGCAGACACCAGCTGGAGGTCACCAGGGACCCGGTCATCCTCAACGCCATGCTGCACATCTGCAAAACCATGCATGACTCCGTCAAGTAGGTCAAACCTCCAACCTTTGAATTTTACCGTTTAACGCTGTCAGTCAGAAGCTCAGGGAATTGGAGCCATGATGGGATGTCGGTCAGTCTGGGAAAGTTCCTGATGATTTTCAGAGACGATATCAACAACTTCCTCTTTAGTTAAAAACCGCAGACCTCCCAGCTCCATGGAGAAGCAGCCCACAGACCTTCATGATCAGTGGAGGGAGCTTTTTTCCATCATGTTCTTAACTAAAGAACACGATTTGTAAATGGAAACAAGAAAAAAAGGCAAGAAACTTTGAATAAAAAAAAAAACATACTTACTGTATTTTAAGTCTTTTTTTTTTTTAAATTCAAATTCAATAGTTTCAAAATTTTTCATATTTATTTATTTTTTTTAATTTTAATTTTTTACAATTTATTGGAATTTAATGAATTTTTTTCATTCTCTTCCCGTCTTGGGGCGGGCTTTCATCGGGAGTGAGGAGGGAGACATATTTCTATTGGTCGAGATGGGCATCAGGCACATTTTCATTGGTTAAGGGAGTTAAAGTAAAGACAACAGGTTTATTCTAAATGTGAGCGTTTTATTCCTGGATTGCATCTTTTGTTTATTTCCATTTACAAAACAAATTCACATCCTGCATCAATAATGGGCTAGAACGACGTTTTTATGGCTGAAATAATTCGTTCATTATTTTCAGATA